AACCATTCTATGTACATTTCTTCTTCTTCTGTGACATTGTCTATGTAGAACACATGGGAACATACCCTCCCTTAGCCTTTGCCTCTTCTCCCTCATATAACGATGAAACGAGCGCGGATTTTTTTAAGTTTCACAATACTGGTGAATCCAGGGTTTTGCTAAGGGCACAATGATAAAATAATTGAAAAGTGGAGCAAGAGAAATATTTTACAGTGCAATGGGTCAATTTTACTGTTATATGTATGGCGACATTTGCTTAGGGATAGACTAGGCTTGGCTTGAGTTTTCTTGTGTGGTTGCTTTTCTTGTTTTCAAACCTTGCCTATACTTTCACTTTTATATTGTTTCATTTGTTTATATCAGATGATGCCGTGCATGGACGGTTACAGATGCTTGGATACCCAGTATGGCAGCATATGTGTCGAAATGACTTGTGAGGTAAAGGCCGTAGTAAATTACATTTCATGTAATATGTGTTTGAAAACATAACTATGATGTTTGTTACACTGTAGTAAAATACACATCATGTAATATGTTCTTTTAAACATGTTTGTGATGAAAGTTACACTGAAGTCATTATCATAGTTTTAAATTTCCAGTTCGTTAAAAAAAGTAAATAATATTTTTAAAATTCTGAAAGAGAACGTCAATCAGTCAAGTTACTTAAAAGCAAACCGAAAAATCCTCTCTTAAATAGATAAACGGCAAGATATTTTATGAGCTGGTAGTTGCAGAGAAAGAAGGTGTCTGGAAGATCATAGCACTCACTTTTTCATCAATGTAATGCTGTGAGATTGCCATAACAGATATAAGACACACTTACCTGGCCTCTCAAACGATTCTTAACTTATTCAGGACGTCCAGTGCCCTAATGGCATGAAGTGTGTTGCAAATGGGAAACCTAAATGTGTATCGACCTGCATGGTACGTATGCCTAATATGATATACTGAGTATGTGCCATTTACTTTGGACATTACGCATTTCCCCCATGCAAGCCAAATGATCTGTCAAAAAATATAATGAAATCGGTAGACTGACGCATTTCGCTGTTTTTACGTTCAGATTAGACCACAGAATGCATACAGGCGTATACCATAAACCAACATATATTCATTTAATGAACCTGTGACAGAATAGCCAATTTGAAATGTATGGTTAATGTATTTGCTGGATTATTATTATTATTATTATTATTATTATTAGACTATGCAATGTAACGGTACTCATATGTGTAACGACACTGACCATGGAGCCGTCTGCGTGGTTCCCCCATCTTGTGACGTAAGTGGAAACAATTTTTTTCACCAGTAATGATATTCAGAAACTTTGGTTTTGTCTGTTTTAGTTCATTCTAGTGGCATGATATAGTTCAACGCATTACTTGTTTGAAACGTTCTTCTCGGTAATTAATTACAGGGGACTGAGGACATTTGAAGATAAATTGATAAAAATGGTCAAAGGGATCATGCCCCTTCTGGGTCCCTTACGGGCAGTGTACTGCCCCATGGCTATTTCTCGTATTTAAAAAAAACATCCGTATATTTTAGTATGAATCTGGCTTCATTTGAAATTGTTTGGTATACTTTTATTGACGACTAACGACTCGATCTAAGCTATGGCCGCTTTCGTTATAAAGAATAGTGAGTCAGACATAATTTGAATAATTTACCTCTACAGAATGTGACGTGCCCAAAAGGACAAAAATGTGTTCAAGAAAAGGGTATGTGCGACTACTCGGGCAACTGTCCTCCAACACCACCAGAATGTGTTCCCAGTAGGTGTTCTTAGTTTTGCTTTATTTCTCATTACATGTAGTTCTTCGGATGTTATTTGTTGATTATTATAGAAAATAGAATGTAAAAATATACGATAGTAATTCAACTAATGAAGTAAATAAGTTGTATATAAACAGTAGTGACAAAATAATTTGTTGATTTTTGGTTCATTTCATATTCTATCTCAGCAGCTAGTATTCAAATTGCCACTCATCGGTGATATGACTATCTTCAAAATGCACTTGACTCTCTTCTTGCTAATTTGACTGAAGTCGGTATGTTCGGGTTTGGCTCCCGATTATAAACATCTTATCACTTATATCCCTTTGAAATGACCCTACTGATGTATCATAAAGATATTATATGTTATATTTGCTAAGAAAACCCCACGTTTGACAGATATGGCTCTAATAACAGTACTTTATTTCAAGTCCCGAAAGAGAAACCCTGCAAGCGTCCTAACGGTGGAGGTGACGACGCCCTTCAAATGAACGGGAAGGACGTGTGCTGTGGCCTGTGCGCACACAGACAAGAGTGTCCTCCGACCCATTACTGCGCCCTTCACATGACTGAAAATTACGCCGTGTGTTGCCCAAAGTACTACTATTGGTAACGCTTCCTTTCAGTCGGTTAAGATATCTTGTGTCAATTTGTCAAGGTGCCTGGCTAACAAGCACAGTGACCATATATTTAAATATATTGTGCTTACAACTTAGCTATGGTCATTTTAAGTGAGTCTAGCAATCTATTTGCAGAATAAATTTGCATGCACTTGATTATTGAAGTCCATTGCATTTTTACTCTGATTTTATGGACATTTGATGCCTTCTAATTTCTGTTATAAGTTTGTTTTGTGGGGGTTATGGTTGAATGTGAATAGGATTGCAAATTTAAAGACGAGCATTGTTATACCGGAAACGTATTTGGTTATATGCCAGTAAATCACTTCTTGTGTACTTCGACAAGACGTAGTGTATTGTATTGCATAAAAGAATAAAGCATGTTTCAAAAGTTGCCCCTTTGTGCGATACTATGCTACTTCAGAGATGAATTAAACATTAACTTGAGTATTTTAGTCTGGTAAAAAGCATTAATAGGCCCCTATACATTGAATACAAAGGAAAAGGATTTGTTGCAGAAACACAATGTTCTGAAGATGGAACAACCATCTTTGAGCCCTGATATTCTTCATATTGAGTACCTGTGGCATAAATTGGAGTGTGCAGAGGAGAACTAATCCCAAATAATCTAAACCAACACCTCCAAGCTCTTTCAGAAGAATGAGACAATATCCCATCAAACTTAATTGTTACCCTTGTTAAAGGTTGTTGCGCCGCCCACAGGAGATCATTGCAGTCATGGTAGACAAACACGCTATTAGACGCGTGACCTTTAACAAGCACATCCTAATGCTAATTGTGTGTAAATTTGGTCATATTTGGTTGTTTCTTTTCAATTTAATAGAATTTTTTCTCAGTGGAAATTACGATGAAACACCGGATTTGAGGTGATGCAAACTCTAAATTTGAATTAATGTAATAAAAAATTGACATTGTCACCGTTATTTTGCATTTTTTTTTTTTTTTTTTTTGCATCATTTATCATCTACGATATGGAATCTAGAACAAAAAGCAATGTTTATAACAATTTACGCCCGTCAGGTGATCATTTATAAATAAAAGTACGTGGAATTGGGGGTGGGACAACCTTTTTGACCAATTATATATATATATATATATATATATATATATATATATATATATATATATATATATATATATATATATTTGTTGGTTTTGTAATACGCTGAAATTCTAAAAGAAATATCCATGCTGAGTTTAAAGCTGGTGTTTGACGCCTGTTTTTTACTTTTCTTCAACCTATGATCTAAACTTTTCTCAAGCATATTTCGAGTACTTGGTGCTTGCATTGTGCATTTTGTGCCCCGGTCCTTTTAAGTTTATAATATTATGTAACTGACACAAATGCATATTTCTGCGATTGGCATTCAACATAACGCAAAAGCATAGACTTCCAAACACAAAACTTATAAAAGACAAATGGGCAAATAACTATTGAGAGGTGGCCAACTACTGCTTAACTTCAAGTTCAAAGTTAACAACATACGTACCCTGTGCGAATCGTAAACACTCCCTGTGTCCAAAATTACAGTGATGTACATATAATACATATTGTCGAAACTGTGTGCACTCATTCCAATCTCATTTTAGATTTATACATTTTCACATATTTTAAACTTGTTAGAAAACGAAAGGGGGTTTGAATTTGAGTGTGATGTTACAGTTAGTTATATTCTATATTCACTAATGCAGGTGACGGCCGGAGTAGGGGGGGTGGTCGGTCATAACGGCAGAAATTAAGTTAAACACTCCCTTTTCGCCTTTATAAATCTGAGTGCCCCTTCCCACGTACGCACACACTCTGAAATTTGCTTTCTATATGCGTGATATTGAAATTTATTGCCCGTGAAAGTTTTATCACCGAATTCTAAAATACACCTGTATGTTGTTTGCCATTTTAACATACCTAATAAATCATCACTGAACTTCACCCAGGCTAATAAATGTACATACAGAGTAATCACTTGAACTCGTTATTCATGGAATGTTTACAAACCATTCCCCTTATTGAATCTACATATGTTCCGACTCTTCATGAAGACATAAATTAAAAACCACAAGCAGGTTAATGTGTGATTGTGTGCTGTCCACAAAATATTTGGAATATCACTTCTTATGCAGTCACTTACTGTGGGATACGGCATAGTTTGGATTCCATGAAAAAAGTTGAAATCGGGCAAGGTCAGGGAATACTGATATATTTTAGATGCCATAAAGATCATATCAAAAAGAACACTCTTGAAAATCGAAAAAGGATTAGTCCCTATTTTAAAAGTGTAGTGATTAGACAAGAAGTGTATAAAATATTGTTTAAAAATCTTTTTTTTTTCTTTTCTTTTTTTTAAACAAGGGAATGTTTGCTTTTTTGAGATTGCAAATATTTTGTCAAGTCTGTTTGAAGGTCATAAGAATAAACAATATATAATATATACAGTGAAAAATTATTTATAGGGGTCGGAGTCTACTTCTATAGATGACAATTCACTTTTTGTAGAAATTAAGTCTCATGACAAACCAGTATAATGCAAAACCTGTCTGTATTAGTCATACAACACGCATACAGGTTTCCCTGTCCCTGTCCTTGTCTTCATAGAAGAACAGTGTCAAGGTCACATTCAGCACTTCTCGACCAATAAGATCGTACACATTCTCTCAGTGACGTAATAAAGGAAAGATCCAGACGATTTGATCACACAGGCTCCATACAGAAGAAGAACAATTGGCAGCGAGGATCAAAATGATGACAACGTTGATACCATGCTTTGTATTGCTGAATATCAATTTGGCTTTTGGACTGGTAAGTTGTTAAAGACGGGTCATGTGTGACCGCTGACAAAAAGCCCTTGTAATGTTGGTCGTTGTAATACCATATGTATTTGTTCTGCAGTGTACAAGATGACGATATATGAAACCATATTTTTGATAAGACACTATATATCCTTTTTATTTGTAACGGAACTACACGTATGAACTACTTTTTTATCTCTCTCTCTATCTCTCTCTCTCTCTCTCTCTCTCTCACACACACACACACACACACACACACACTCACACACACACATTCATCGACTTAAAAGATCAAGCTGAATACAATGTGTTTGTTTCAGTCCTGGGTTAATACAGGCACAAAAACAGAAAGTCCACTGGAAACATTTTACGAAAATGAGCAATACCCTAATCGCGTGCATTTCTCCGTTAACATTTTTCATTAACAATTTATTTCTTATTTTTTTCAGGCTAGTGTTGTTGACTGCGTAAGTACTGCGTTTTTCAATTCATCTTAATCACAACCATTAATCTTTTTGTAGTAATTTATCATTTTTATATTAATTATAATTTTTGAAAGAATTTACCCAACAAGCTTGTTTATCTTTTCCATTTGTGGAGTGTATTTCCGCAAAAATACAGCCTGAAGATGTTATTTATAGCAAAGGTTATGTAAGTGTATAATAGAAGGCACATAGTTTTCAAACACGTTTTCAATATGTTAAAGTATATATAAATATATATTCAAAACTTGTCTAAAAACTGCCTGGTGATTAAAATACAGAAGATTGAAATAGTGTCACTATAATTCCCCCATTATAATTCAGTCACGTGTGCAATTCAGTATTTCACATAAATCAAGGTGTGTTGTAGTGTTTTGAAGCACTCTACGTGAGATATGAATAATACGCTCTTAGTGTACCACAATAAATCAATGTCTTCAGACAACCATTGAGTGTCCTACAGGAGAAACTTGCGTTCAAGATGTGGTAATTTGTAAGAAGCCACCATGCAAACCGCCGGAACCACGCTGCGTTCGTGAGTGAAATATAAAAAGTGAAACATGACAAATAATAGAAAATAGTAATTGTGAAGATAGAACCAATTAATATTGTTTGGGATAGTTCGCTAATGCAACACATTACATCATACCTGTTTATTATTTTAGATAAACCGAGCACACACATACACATATACATAAATTGAAAGCTAAGACCTTCACTGTCAGCAATGCGGGCATGTTCTCTGTACAAACAAATCCATATTTCAGAAAAAGAATTGTTCCCGTTTTTCACCCAGGCAAAATTCCGCATGCAGCGTTTATTGAAACGAATAACTATTTACTATGTCTTAGACACAAGTGGAATGGTATATAAATTGGTGAAAATAAGTAAATTTCCAATCAAGTCATTTCTCATGACAAATTATCAAAAGAATGCTCGAAAATGTTTTATTTTGCTTTTTGCTATGTTTTTTTTATAATTTTATTTGTTTTTATCCTATTAATTTTTTAATTGATTAATTTCATATTACCTTAATTAATACTCTTCACAGCTATATGTATGGCCCCAGCCGATCCCGGTCCCTGTGATGGCTTTTTCCCAAGGTATTTTTTCGACAGCAAAGCTTGCCAGTGTCAGAAATTCATCTACGGGGGCTGTGGAGGAAACGCCAATAATTTTAAAACACTGGAGGAATGCCAACAGACTTGTCCCGTAACGTGTGATGTAAGTGTAAAATATTTTCACAAAGCTATATAATCTGTATAGTATAATACATTCATTATTTGTGCTATGATTTCTATTTTTTTATCTTGATACTAAATTACAGTCCATCCTTAAGTTTAAGGATGAATAAATTGTATATTCGATTTTGATTTTTAGTTTCAAAGTTTATGTTTTGATGGTATGAGACATTACCACTCTGAGTGGAGGAAAGATATCAGAAAATTAGATTTAAATGTAGCATTGAACACGTTAAGTAGTGTCAGGATTTAGTTTAATAACACATGCCAAACAAACAAACTGGCAGCTACCCTGTAAATTATTCAGCAAATTTACATGCTCATTATCACTGTTAACTATACAAAGACCCAATTGGGATCTGACTTGTGATATATATGTAGAGGGAAGGAGAGCATTGTATTAATCATGGTTACCATAAATATCACATTAAATTTTTATCTTTTGGGTCCCCTTTACATAAGGATATTATTGTACGTAAGTTTTCATTGACTCGAACTTGTAGGTGTGCTTTTTTTCTTCAGCATATAAAGTGCCCTGACGGAGAAACGTGTGTCCTTGACAGAGAAATCAGTACAGAATCGCTGTGTCAGCCGCCTATACCACGGTGTGTCCGTAAGTTTATTTATTTGTTTATTGCATGCTTATTCTTTACATATATTTCTTTAGTTTTGTGGAGGGGATGTGGAGGAAATATTTTTCCTGTTGGAGAATCCGAAGCAGGCATGCCCACGGTGTGACGAAAGACTTCTAGTTTATTTAAAATTTTCCCTTTCCTTAGTCACCACAGTATAAAACCTATAAAACTTATTTTATCTTATCTTAAACTTTTATCTTACCTGACTGAAGAAAACAATCTCTTCGTAGCTCTCCATTTTTTTAGACTTAGAATGTCCTGTCCAAGTCTGACAATAACAACACTCAAGATCGGATAGGCAGACAACAGACATTCTTTAACCGCTTTATATCTTATTCTAAAAATCATGCAGTCATAAATAACAATAGACATTTAGATATTTTATTATTGCTAGATTTTACACGCGTAATATATATATAAATATTATACATTTTCCTTAACTTACAACGGTATATCATATATATTACCTTTTATTTTGCGAGGTCCCAGATTTCACGGCCCTTTTTAAAAATACGGTTTCGACATTCATATTTAAGAATTGTATACCAAAGAAAAATAAAAAACTTAAGTTAGAATTAACTCATGCTTTAGTATCAGATGTCAAGAGATCCCCTCTTACATACACATAGACTTGTTTTTCTATCTTAGCGATCTGCGAGGCCCCACCAGATCCTGGACCGTGTGAAGCCTACATGCCAAGATATTTCTATAACAGCACTATAACAGCTTAACAGTTGTATACCAAAGAGAAGGGAAAATTAAGCAAAAAAGATAAACAAATCCTTTCTTTAGTATCAGATTTAAAAACATCCCCTCTTACATACGAATGCATTCTTTTTCTATCTTAGCGATCTGCGAGGCCCCACAAGATTCCGGACCATGTGAAGCCTACATGCCAAGATATTTCTATAATAGCACTGCTGAACAGTGTCAAAAGTTTATCTACGGAGGCTGTGGAGGAAACGCCAATAATTTCGAAACACTGGAGGAATGCCAAAAGACTTGTCCCGTTACGTGTGATGTGAGTCGGTTTTTATTTATTTATTTATTTATTTATTATTTAATTATTTATTTATTTATTCAATCGTTTATTCTTTACATATATTTCTTTGGTTTTGTGGAGGGGATGTGGAGGAAATATTTTTTCCTGTTGGAGAATCTTATACAGGCATGCCCAATGTATGTCGAAATACTTCTAGTTTATTAAATATTTTCCTTTTACCTGGTTCGATCCATTTCCTTAGTCACCTTAATATAAAACCATTACCATATTGAAGAAAATAACATCTCCATTTTTTAGAACTTAGAATGTCCTCCAGGAGAGAAGTGCGTTCAGGAAACAATTTACTGTTTTGCATACCCCTGCCCCCAGCCACCTGCCAAATGTGGTAAGTTTATATTCTCCCCCTTTTCAAGACGGCGATGGTAGATGTCTCGGCTGAATATCTTTAGTGTTTGCAATTTTATTTAATCTGCATCTTCATATTCAAGGACCGTTGCTAGTATAGTAATTAATCGCACATTCCCATGTTTTCAAATTTCGAATTAAAATAATACGTACAATGAATGAAATACAATTCTCGTATCATTGGTGTATAGTTTTTTTGGCTATGTGTGATATCGTTTGTTTTCACCAACCTATCTTTTATCATCTTAGCGTGTGCATATTGCAACATTGCAACTTGCCAAGGACACTTCATTCAACAAAATAACATTATTTTGTATTTCTGTTAAGTCAAACCAGAGAAGCCTTGTCTCAGAAGTGACGGGAGGTACGACGATCCTCTACTAGATAGTAATGGTGATCCGATCTGCTGTGGTATGTGCCTGAACAAACAGGAGTGCCCGAAGGGTTACTACTGCGACATTCACCCTGCTGATGCTTGGGCTGTGTGCTGTCCGAATGAAGTCTAACAATACTCTGTTGGCCATATATTATACACTTATATAACCTTTGGTGACAGGGAATCATATTTGAGCATTTTGTCTCATTCGGGTATTTTTTTAAACGGAGACAGCAGCTGGCAAAACTCACGTGTACATGTAACAAGATAAATTATAAATTTAGAACTCGAAAACGGGTGCATAAATTGTTTCCGCAACATTTAATATGGTATACCTATGTGATGAAGGGATGATTGTTAACCTTTTCTTGGTTATTATTATTATTATTATTATTATTATTATTATTATTATTATTATTATTAATTGTGCTACACTAAGGCGCCTTTTATTTAATGGGGTTAGCTTCACTTTCCAAAATAAGTGAATTATGTTTTCTTGTATTCCTGTTTATCTATATGTTAAACCAGTGGAATAGGTATTGCGTACAGCAGAATCTTGTTGCTGTCACTTTCTTTTAATTGGTCAAATAATTAAGCTGGGCATTCTACAAGTATGAAGATTTGTTTTTCAGTTTTTGCAATTGACCGGTGGCTGCAATATTCCATCTCATTTCTTTTACCCGAAAATTAAGTTTTTCCTTTAAAACTGTAGTTTATGATTAACAAGTAAAATGCTAACCAATACTTTATCAGACGCTCTCACGAAATTTTTAAATTCTGTATGCACAGCTGTTAGATATCCAATTTACAGCTACCTGAATATCTTGTTAGATATATTGGACGCATCATATTCAAAAATGAAATTTTGCTTTACTTCTTAAGGAAATGTGTTTTATTTCAACATGCTTACTTTACCAAATTTTAAAAACCATTACCTTTTTGGCATAAAATCTTCCAAAACAAATTATTATTCTCATGTGTTATTTTCTTGCGTTTTTAAGGATGTAAAGAAGGTGGGTGGCAGCAATGGATCAAGATATACAAACATGTTGCATATCAATAAAAAGCTTATTTCGATAGCTTTTTTAATGTTCATACATGTATCTAAAAACAAATATTATACAAATAAATCCCAATACAGACTTCGAAATGCATAATAGGGTAACAATTAGATATATCTGAACAATCTTAAAACTATGCCATCATATTTTTTCTATCAGATAGACGTAAAACTTTTTGAAAGTGTTTATTTGCACATAACATCACTTTTTCAACATGTCATATTTTTAGTGCAAAGTTAACTACATAAACGTACCATGTACAGGGGCGGGTTTAGGCCGTCTTCTGGGTCTTCCGGAAGACGGTCAGATTTTCAAGTTTACAATGAAAGGTATCTATTTTTTTCTGTCGGAAGACGGTCAAATAATGAAGGATGGATCAACAAATATAATATGGAAGACTGTCAGAAAATATCTCTGGATCCGCCCCTGATGTACTAATCATAAACACTCCCTGTGTCCAAAATTACAGTGATGTACATATAAAACACATTGTCAATACGGTGCACACTCATTCCAATCTCATTTTAGAGTTATACATTTTCACATCTTTTGAACTTGTAAGAAAACGAAAGGGGGTTTGAATTTGAGTGTGATGTTACACTTAGTTATATTCTATATTCACTAATGCCGGTGACGGCCGGAGCAAGGGGGGCAGGTCGGTCATAACGGCAGAAATTGAGTTAAGCATCCCCCTGTTCACCTTAATTTGACTGAATGCCCCCTCCCACATACGCACAATATTATGAAATTTGCTTTCTACGAGCGTGATATTGGAATTTATCGCCCGTGAAAGTTTTATCACCGAATTCTAAAATACACTTTCATGCGGTTTGTAATTTTTAACATACCTGATAAATCATTAATGAACTTCACCCAGGCTAATGAATGTATAAAGAATAATCACTTATTCATGTAACGTTTACAAACCACTTCCCATTTCACTTGATTAGTCCCTATTTAAAAAGTGTAGTGATTAGATAAGAAGAGTAAAAAATATTGTTTAAAAATCAATATTTATTTTTTCGAAAACGAAGCAATGTTTGAATTTTTGAGATTGCAAATATTTCATATCTTAAGTCTGTTGAAGGTCATAAAACAAACATTATAGAACATACAGATAATTTAGTTATACGCCTATAGATGATAATTTACTTTCTTGTAGAAATTTAGTTTCATGACAAACCAGTACAACACAAAATCTATCTGTATTAGTCATATTTTTGGGACAAACACGCATACGGGTTTCCCTGTCCTTGTCTTCTTAGAAGAACAGTGCCAAGGTCACATTCAGCACTTCTCGACCAATAAGATCGTTCATATTCTCTCACTGACGTAATGAAAGAAAAGATCTAGACGATTTGTTCACACTGGCCCCACAAAGAAGAAGTGCAATCGGCAGCGAGGATCAAAATGATGACAACGTTGATACCATGCTTTGTATTGCTGAATATCAATATGGCTTATGGACTGGTAAGGTGTTAGAGACGGATCATGTGTGACCGCTGACAATAATGTAATGTTGGTAGTTGTAATCTCAAACGTATTTGTTCCGCAGTGTACAATATGACGATATGTGAAACAATATTTTTGAAATGAAATTATATATCCTGTTTGGTTGGAACGGAACTGCACGCCTAACTGCCCTTTTAACTGTATTTCTCTCTCTCTCGTTCATCGACGCAAAAAGTGAAGCTGAACACAATTTGTTTGCTTCAGTCCTGTGTCAATACAGGCGCAAAAAAATCACGAAAGTTAATTAACATTTCCTTATACGCGTGCATTTCTTCTTTAACATTTTTAATTTACATTTATCACTTATTTTTCCCAGGCTCGTGTTGGTGACTGCGTAAGTACTACGTTTTACAAACTATTTTAATCATAACCATTCATCTCCCTTTTTTGTTGAATATATATCATTTTCGTGTAATCTATAATTTTTAAAAGAATTTTGCCAATAAGCTTGTTACTCTTCCCTTTGTATCATTAACTGAAAATATATACTAGCACGTACGCATATAAATTAGACAGCCTTTACAGTATGTGCTGGTATTAATGCAGTTGCATTATTCACTATAGGTATTATGTAATATTGCACATGGAGTGTATTCCCGCATTAACACAACCTGAAGATGTTACTGATAGAGTTATATAAGTGTATACTAGAGGACACATGGTTTTTAGATAAGTTTTCAATATATACTGGTGGATTTAGAGAGGGGTCAGAGGGGTCCTGACCCCTTCGATTTCGGAAAAAAATCACACCAATATTCCCCCTTTGAAATAAGAATTTTGACTAGTTGAACCATAGTTCTAAACCATAACAAATGTCAGTGTTCGCCCTCTAAAATACCAAAATTTGTTGGAGCCCTTCAGCGGGCTTTGAACTCCACGCCGGAGGGCGGGGGGAGGGGGGGTTGGCTTTGCATCCGTGCCATCCCCTTTCAAATAAACCTGGATCTTCCTATATATATATATATATATATATATATATATATATATATATATATATATATATATATTTTTTTTTTTTTTTTTTTTTTTTTTTTTTAAAACTTGTATGAAAACTATGTGTTAATTCAAATTTCTGTTAAGATTTTTTTAAATGTAAAACATTTTTGTGGTCAATAAATTATTATTATTATCATTACTATTATTTAAATACAGCTTTAAGCCTTAAATTACAATCAAGATTGAAATACTCCCACTATAATTCCCCCATTATTATTTAGCACTTCAGTACTTCATATAAATCAAGGTGTGGTGTAGTGTTTTGATGCGCTGTACATGAAATATGAATAATATGCTTTCAGTGTACCACAATTAAAATAATTTATTGGTGACAATAAATGGATGTATGTGAGATGGGATTACCAATGTTATGTAAGCTTCTTAGTGAATTTGTCACTTAGAGTCCAGGCAATCTAAGCCATTTTAGGGCCAAACCTCAAAGTAATTGCAACAGTTTTTATTTTACCACAATGCTTTCCTTTGAACCCCCCAAAATGACATACTAAAACTCCTAAGGAATCCTAGCATGGGAAATATGAAAAAGCAAGATGGCCGCCAATGCCATAGGATGCCATTTATATATATATTGAAAACTTGTCTGAAAACTGTGTTAATTCAAATTTGTGTTAATCTTTTTTAAATGTAAAAACATTTTTGTGCTCAATAAATTTTTTTTTTTAATACAGCATTAAGCCTTAAATAACAATCAAGATTGAAATACTCCCACTATAATTCCCCCATTATTATTCAGTCACGTGTGCACTTCAGTATTTCCTATAAATCAAGGTGTTGTGTAGTGTATTGATGCACTCTAAATGAAATAAGAATAATATGTTCTAAGTGTACCACAACAAATATAATTTACTGGTGGCAATAAAATGTTTTATGTGAGATGGGATTATCAATATTATGTAAGCTTCCTAGAGAATTTGTCTCTTATAAAATAAGCTCCAGCTGTTTCTTTGTTTTTCACACTTAGGAACCATCTCCAACCCCTATCATACTAAAGCCTAGATACGATGAAATTGTACGATTAATTTTTTTTAATCGTAAGAACTACAGGCTACGCCGAGTATGTCTACATTACATGGCGTTAAATCCGTACGATTACGTGCGATTTCGCACGGCCACCGTCTACCTCCGCTCAGACGCCGTACGAAAAGGGTATTACGGACAGTATACGTGCACTGCGTCGCATTTCAAATGTAATCTAGGCTTAACTTTGGATCGATCTATCTCCTAGGGGGTTCTCGCTAAATTGCAATCAACTAAAGCGGCTTAGATGTCTGCCACGCTAATAAAGGGTAATTAACTATCGTCTAGCAGCTTTAGTAGGCGTGTCAGACATCTTAGCCGCTTAAGCTGAAAGCAATTTAGCTAGAAACCCCATGGAGATGGACCGATCCTGTTACATCGATCTAGGTATGAGGACCCGGTCTTAAGACTTTAATTGCTTACAAGCTGCACTGGAGAGACACAAATGATGTTGGTGCAGCCTGATTTGACAGTACTTCTTCGCCTCTGTACGATCAGCCAAACGGAGGAGAGGGAATGCTCTCTTTCACTTCTTCAGAATATTCACATCGTTAAGTAGTTCAAAGTCCAGGAAAGAAAAATTTAAAGGTGAATTTTGGAAATCTATTCAAACACATAAATCAATGTTTTCAGACGACCATTGAGTGTCCTACAGGAAAAACTTGCGTTCAAGATGTGGTAATTTGTAAGAAGCCACCTTGCAAACAGCCGAAACCACGCTGCGTTCGTGAGTGAAATATAAAACCTGAAACATGAAAAATAATAGAAACTAGTAGTTGTAATGCTAGAACCTATTTTTATTGTTTTGGCATCATACCTGTTTGTTATCTAAGATAAAATGAGCACACACATACATATTTACATATATTGAAGCCTAAGCCCTTCGCTGTCAGCGATGTGGGTATGTTCTCTGTGCAAACAAATCCACATTCTAGAAAAATAAATGTTCCCGTATTTCAACATGGCAAAGTTCCGCATGCAGCGATCATTGAAACGATTTACTATTTGCAATGTCCAATATCAAGTCATTTCTCATAACAAATTTTCAAAATGTATATGCTGGAAAATCTTTTATTTTGCTTTCTGCTATATCATTTTATTCGTTTTCATCCTATTTATTTATTTATTTTTATCTTATCTTATCTTATTTATAAATATTCACAGCTATATGTATAGCCCCAGCCGATCCCGGTCCCTGTGATGGCTTTTTCCCAAGGTACTTCTTCGACAGCAAGGTCTGTCAGTGTCAGAAATTCATCTACGGTGGCTGTGAGGGAAACGACAATAATTTCGAAACACTGGAGGAATGCCAAAATGCTTGTCCGGTAACATGTGACGTAAGTATAAAATATTGCATTTACAAAGGTATGTAACTTATAACGAATAATATACTTCGTTATTTGTGCCATACCATATACAAGTGTTTATTTTGCTACCAAATCACAGTCTGTGCTATGATGGATAAATTGTATATTAGATTTTGATAATGGGTTTTTAAGTTATAATAAAAGTTGATGTTTTGACGACATGAGGCATTACCACTTTGAGTCATTTAAAGCAATCTAAAAACCAGATTTACATGTAGCATTGAAGTGTTTAGTAGTGGCAGAGACCACAAATACCTTAGTGTGTGTGTGTGTGTGTGTGTTTGTATGTTTGTGTGTAAAAAGGGAGAGAAGGACAGAGAGAGAGCATTGAATTGGCCATGGTTACCTCAAATATCGCATTGAATACTGTTAAATTCTTTTGGATCCCTTTTACATAAGGGTATTGTTGTTCGTGACTTTTCATTGACTGGGACTTGTAGGTGTTATTTTTCTTCAGCATATAAAGTGTCCTGACGGAGAAACGTGTGTCCGTGGCAGAGAAATCAATACAAAATCGCTGTGTCGGCCGCCTATACCACGGTGTGTCCGTAAGTGATCCTGTCCAACTCTTTTAAAATAACTACACTCAAGAGATAGACAGACAACGGATACAGTTTTAACCCCTTTACCTGAAAAACATTTATAAACAACAATAGATATTTAGATATCTTATTATTGCTATATTTCCCATGTGTAAAATCTTTTTTATGATTCAAATGCTTACATTTCTTCATTTATTAATTTATGTATAATAGCGGTCATACATTTAAATTTGATGTTGCATGCAGACTCTTTCACGTATGATATATATGTCGCAATATACAGACATGACATTTAATATGGAATATTTCAGTTTCAAAGGTATGCATATGTGAAAATGCGTTCGTTTTTCAAAAAACACCGATCTCATATAAGATATGTGAATGGAAAAGTGTGTAGTCAGGTGTGTCGCTACCAATTAACTGACTTCCATGTCTGTTGCACTGCTGCATTGTGTAANACATACATATTTACATATATTGAAGCCTAAGCCCTTCGCTGTCAGCGATGTGGGTATGTTCTCTGTGCAAACAAATCCACATTCTAGAAAAATAAATGTTCCCGTATTTCAACATGGCAAAGTTCCGCATGCAGCGATCATTGAAACGATTTACTATTTGCAATGTCCAATATCAAGTCATTTCTCATAACAAATTTTCAAAATGTATATGCTGGAAAATCTTTTATTTTGCTTTCTGCTATATCATTTTATTCGTTTTCATCCTATTTATTTATTTATTTTTATCTTATCTTATCTTATTTATAAATATTCACAGCTATATGTATAGCCCCAGCCGATCCCGGTCCCTGTGATGGCTTTTTCCCAAGGTACTTCTTCGACAGCAAGGTCTGTCAGTGTCAGAAATTCATCTACGGTGGCTGTGAGGGAAACGACAATAATTTCGAAACACTGGAGGAATGCCAAAATGCTTGTCCGGTAACATGTGACGTAAGTATAAAATATTGCATTTACAAAGGTATGTAACTTATAACGAATAATATACTTCGTTATTTGTGCCATACCATATACAAGTGTTTATTTTGCTACCAAATCACAGTCTGTGCTATGATGGATAAATTGTATATTAGATTTTGATAATGGGTTTTTAAGTTATAATAAAAGTTGATGTTTTGATGACATGAGGCATTACCACTTTGAGTCATTTAAAGCAATCTAAAAACCAGATTTACATGTAGCATTGAAGTGTTTAGTAGTGGCAGAGACCACAAATACCTAAGTGTGTGTGTGTGTGTGTGTGTGTGTTTGTATGTTTGTGTGTAAAAAGGGAGAGAAGGACAGAGAGAGAGCATTGAATTGGCCATGGTTACCTCAAATATCGCATTGAATACTTTAATTCTTTTGGATCCCTTTTACATAAGGGTATTGTTGTTCGTGACTTTTCATTGACTGGGACTTGTAGGTGTAATTTTTCTTCAGCATATAAAGTGTCCTGACGGAGAAACGTGTGTCCGTGGCAGAGAAATCAATACAAAATCGCTGTGTCGGCCGCCTATACCACGGTGTGTCCGTAAGTGATCCTGTCCAACTCTTTTAAAATAACTACACTCAAGAGATAGGCAGACAACGGATACAGTTTTAACCCCTTTACCTGAAAAAACATTTATAAACAACAATAGATATTTAGATATCTTATTATTGCTATATTTCCCATGTGTAAAATTCTTTTATGATCCAAATGCTTACATTTCTTCATTTATTAATTTATGTATAATAGCGGTCATACATTTAAATTTGATGTTGCATGCAGACTCTTTCACGTATGACATATATGTCGCAATATACAGACGTGACATTTAATATGGAATATTTCAGTTTCAAAGGTATGCATATGTGAAAATGCGTTCGTTTTTCAAAAAACACCGATCTCATATAAGATATGTGAATGGAAAAGTGTGTAGTCAGGTGTGTCGCTACCAATTAACTGACTTCCATGTCTGTTGCACTGCTGTATTGTGTAACATGCAGTGATTTAATTGGGTAGTGCTCCTTTGGGCTGGTCTAAGCTTGGCTGTGGCAAGGCATGGTTCTGTGAAAAAAGTTTCCATGTGTGCATAGAAGAATTTGAAATTTTGCATGCAAGCGGTCAGTGTTTTACAAAACTGTAAAGCTGTGACAGAATGACACGAAAAAGACAGAAATTGCCAGTCAGATTATTGCGCCAAACGGAACGGTCCGCTCAGTTTTATATAGTTATGCTCACACTATGCTAACACCAACACAGAGGTCACACCCAATGTATCGAAATCTGACCACCAGTGTACAGGGCTCGCTGTCCTTCCGGATATGCTGCTGCCACTAAACGAAAAAACACCCAGTTCGTTCAGAATGAGGGGCAAATTGCCACCAGAACGCGTTTTTCAAGACCCAAACACTAAACCGATTTTAGCAGGTTAGAATACCAGCCGCGACCTCTGAGAAAGCCACTGTTAAACAGCAAAACATCGTTTGTGGTTTTTCTAATGAATTTGGGACCATGACCGTTTCTGGCTAGAACACTGAAACGGTGTGACTTTCTTTATTGAGGTCAGATTTCACCCTTACCGTTCAACTAGTCAAAACCGAGTTTACAGACATTCTCAAAAGGCCTTCGACGAAGAATGTGCCGCGTCTAAATCGACTAGGGTCATTCAAAGCGTAAGTATTACATTGGTGCCAAAATACCGGCTCACACAGAGCACTTTTAATAGCAGGTAGCTTACAGAACCAAGGAAATTAGCAGCTACCTTGTCCATCAAAATCGCCATGTTTGAACCACATAGTCAATATGTGGGTGGGTCATTACTCGACGAATCAACGGTCTACATGTCCTACAACCGATGCCTGGAATTTAATCCCAGATTGAACTATAAAAACCTATTCCAGTGAATGCCTTACCGCTTGAGAGCCCTGGTAGCAGCCAGTGAGGTGCGGCGAACAGGGACCGTTGTTGTGACTAGACACCGACATGAGGGTCTTTTATGGGTCGTGTAACTCTTTTACAGAAGATGATTTGGAAATTATGGAGATCCAAAATATCGCCTTCAATGGTTGTTGTATGACTTAGAATAGGTAATGTAATTTTGTTTGCTTCACTGGCGAATTCTATTAATGAACTGATGTCACAATGACATCAGATACATTATTAAAAGTAATCAAGACACAATTTCAATCCTTATTTTCATTTACCAGTCAATAAAATGGGGAAAACAGATGAAAATGATTTAGAAAAAATAGTCCATGTTAAATGTCAAGTCTGTAAATGGCAAGTGTCACAGTATGAAATAGGCTTGCACGTGATAATACGTGTTTGGATGTCGTGCAGAGCTGTCCCGCATGAAAATGCAGTAGTATCGAAGTAGCAAAGAAGCATTAACGCAGTAGTGGTGTGGAGCATATTTGCAGTAGAAATGCAGTAGAGCCTACTGCAATTCTACTTCAAAAATTACATAGGGTTGTACAGAAGAGGAGCATTAATGCAGTAGATTAGCAGCATGATAGAAGCATGTTTCAAATATGCTAATTAGCTCCCCAATCGAAGCAGATTTGAAGCATGTTTGCAGTATGATTGCAGTAGTCTACTGCGCTGGAGTATCTTCTTCGTTTTCGTGCGGGGTGGTAAACATTTCAAAAAAAAAAAAAATATATATATATATATATATATATATATATATATATATATATATATATACAGTATATATAACCGAATGAACTACTTTACATGAATAACCCACCTTTCTTTTTTCAACTTTTTTCTACTCAGCACTCTACCCGATACACTTGGAGATTGTATATAAAAGGCTGAAGCCATGCTCATCAAAAGCAATCAAATTACTTGGGAATAGTATGAAGTTATACTTCGCCTTAATTGATACCATTCAATTTTATAACATTTTGCGAGGCCCCAGATTTCATGATCCTCAGTGAAAATAATACGGTTCCAGTATTTGTGCTTAACAGTTGTATACCAAAGAGAAGGGAAAATTAAGCAAAAAAGATAAACAAATCCTTTCTTTAGTATCAGATTTAAAAACATCCCCTCTTACATACGAATGCATTCTTTTTCTATCTTAGCGATCTGCGAGGCCCCACAAGATTCCGGACCATGTGAAGCCTACATGCCAAGATATTTCTATAATAGCACTGCTGAACAGTGTCAAAAGTTTATCTACGGAGGCTGTGGAGGAAACGCCAATAATTTCGAAACACTGGAGGAATGCCAAAAGACTTGTCCCGTTACGTGTGATGTGAGTCGGTTTTTATTTATTTATTTATTTACTTATTCATTTATTTATTCAATCGCTTATTCTTTACATATGTTTCTTTGGTTTTGTGGAGGGGGTGTGGAGGAAATATTTTTCCTGTTGGAGAATCTTATACAGGCATGCCCAAGGTGTGTCGAAAGATTTCTAGTTTATTAAAGATTTTCCTTTTACCTGGTTCGATCCATTTCCTTAGTCACCTTAATATAAAACCATTACCAGAATGAAGAAAATAATATCTCCATTTTTTAGAACTTAGAATGTCCTCCAGGAAAGAAGTGCGTTAAGGAAACAATTTACTGTATCACCTACCCCTGCCCCCAGCCACCTGCCAAATGTGGTAAGTTTATATTCTTCCCCTTTTCAAGACGGCGATGGTAGATGTCTCGGCTGAATATCTTTAGTGTTTGCAATTTAATTTAATCCGTATCTTCATATTCAAGGACCGTTGCTAGTATAGTCATTAATTGCACATTCCCATGTTTTCAAATTTCGAATTAAAATAATACGTACAATGAATGAAATTCAATTCTCGTATCATTGGTGTATAGTTTTTTGACTATGTGTGATATCGTTTGTTTTCACCAACCTATTTTTTATCATCTTAGCGTGTGCATATTGCAAAATCGCAACTTGCCAAGGACACTTCATTCAACAAAATAACATTATATTGTATTTCTGTTAAGTCAAACCAGAGAAGCCTTGTCTCAGAAGTGACGGGAGGTACGACGATCCTCTACTAGACAGTGACGGTGATCCGATCTGCTGTGGTATGTGCCTGAACAAACAGGAGTGCCCGAAGGGTTACTACTGCGACATTCACCCTGCTGATGCTTGGGCTGTGTGCTGTCCGAATGAAGCCTAACAAGGCTCTGTGGACCATATATTATACACTTATATAACCCTTGGTGACAGGGAATCATAAATGTATGACGCGTTTCAGCAGTAAAAAATATTCTCCTCTTGGTTTTAAAGCGTTAAGCTTTTATTACGATTTAGTATTTCTTTTTTTTTTTAATTTAATGAGTTTCCCCTTAACCAACTTGATATAAGATATCAAAACTTTGCCCAGCGTTGCCGTAGGAAAACCCGTATTTGAGTATTGTGTCCCATTCGGGTAACTTTTTAAACGGAGACAGCAGCTGGTAAAACTCACTTGTAACAAGATAAATTACGAATTCAGAACTCGAAAACGGGTGCATAAATTGTTGTTTCCGTAACTTTTTGATATGGTATACCTTTGTGATGAAGGGATGATTGTTAAGTTTTTCTTGATTATTATTATTATTATTATTATTATTATTATCTACACAAATGCCAAAGGCGCCTTTAATTAAATGGGGTTAGCTTCACCTTTTAAAATAAATAAATGTGATTATTTCTTGTAAATCTATATGTTAAATCATTGGAAAAGGTATTACATACAGCAGAATCTTGTAGTCGCTTTGTTTTAATAGGTCAAATAAGCTAGGGTATTCTACATGTATGAAGATTTGTTTTTCAGTTTCTGCAACTGTCCCAACAGCTGCAATATTTTATCACATTTCTTGATCTGAAAATAAAGCTTTTCCTTTAAACTGTAGTTTTTGATTTACCAGTAAATACAAGGCTAACCAATACTTTATCAGACGCTCCTACGAAATTTAAATGTTGTTTGCACAGCAGTAAAATGACCAATTTGCAGCTACCTGTATATTTTGTTAGGCATATTGGACGAATCATGTTGAAAATAAAATTTTGCTTTACTTCTTCAGGAAATGTGTTTTATTTCAACGTGCTTATTTAACCAAATTAATCCATTAACTTTTTGGCATAAAATCTTCCAAGACATAGTATCGTGTGTTATTTTCTTGCATTTTTTAAGGATGTAAAGAAGGTGCGTGGCAGCAACGGACCAAGATATGCCAACATGTTTCATATCAGATACATATACATTCATGTATCTAAAAACAATGATTATGCAAATAAAGCCCAATACAGGCTTTGCAATCCATAATAGGATAACAATCAGATATGTCCAAAATATAAAGCTGAGCAATCTTAAAACTTCGTCATCACAATTTTTTCCATCAGATACACGTGAAAGTTTCTGAAATTTTTTATTTGTGAAAAACAATATCACTTTTTCAGGCCAGTCACACTTCAGTGTTCATTTAGACAGCAAGAATACTGTCCTTTGGTGAATTATATGTTCGCAGTTCAGAGTGTATATTTGGTCTGCAGAGTCAAATGTTCTTTACATGAGGCATGCATTCTGACAGCCTGCCAAAGTTTAAAGCCATTGGCCTTTCCTCCACATCCCCCGTAGACGGACAACTCACACTGGCAGCTGTAGATGTGCATGTCCTAGGTCTCCCTTTACTAGGAACGCATGACCTAGGACATAATTCCCTGGGATTTTAAGTCCTGCGGACATACAATACAGAACACACAGTGAAAAATTGTGTATACACTTATAGATGATAATTTACTTTCTTGTAAGGAATTTAACTCATGACAAACCAGTATAATGCAAAATCTGTCAGTATTAGTGATTTTTTTGCGACGAACACGCATATACGGGTTTCCATGTCCTTGTCTGCATAGAAGAACAGTGCCAAGGTCACATTCAGCACTTCTAGACCAATAAGAGCGTACACATTCTCTCAGTGACGTACGGTAATAAAGGAATGTTCGAGACGGTTTGTTCACACAGGCTCCACACAGAAGAAAAGCAATTGGCAGCGAGGATCAAAATGATGACAATGTTGATACCGTGCTTTATATTGCTGAATATCAATTTGGCTTATGGACTGGTTAAGTGTTAAAGACGGATCATGCGTGACCGCTGACAAAAAGCACGTGTAATATTGCTCGTTGTAATGTTAAATGTATTTGTTCTGCAGTGTACAATATGACGATATGTGAAACCATATTTTTGACAAGCCATTATATAGCCTGTTTGCTTGGAACGGAACTACACGTATGAACTGCCCTTTTAGCTCTCTCTCTCTCTCTCTCTCTCTCTCATACACAAAAATTCAAGCTGAACACAATCTGTCTGCTTCAGTCCGGTGTCAATACATTTTACGAAAGTAAATGAACATTTCCTTGTTCGCGTGCATTTCTCCTTTATCATTTTAATAAACATACGTCACATCTTTTTCAAGGCTCGTGTTGGTAAATGCGTAAGTACTACGTTTTACTATTCATTTTGATCATAACCATTAATCTTTTTTGTTGTAATTTTTGTCATATTCATGTCAATTATTATTTTTGAAAGAATTTACCCTTAGCTATTTAGTCTGTTTATCTCTTCCTTTTGTATCAGTAACTGTACATTTATACCAGCACATACGGCATGCATATATATATATATATATATACCGCTGCCGTATGTACTTGTATAAACGCTGTTGAATTATTCACAACAGATACTGTGTAATATTCCGCATGGTGTGAATTTCCCATTAATACAGCCTGCAGATGTTACTGACAGAAAGGGCAATACCTGTATAAGTGTATAATGGAAGACATAGTTTTCAAACAAGTTTTCAATGTGTTGAAGTATATATATACTGTGTGTGTGTGTGTGTGTGTGTGTGTGTGTCAATGTTTTTTTTAAGCTTCTTAGGAAATTTGTCTCTTATAACAAGAGGTCCAGATGTTTCTTCCCTAATTTCAGTCAGGATGTCCCCTCTTTGTTTTTCACACTTAGACTGCATTCCCAAAGATTGAGATCGGTCCATCTAGATCGACCTAACTCCCTGGGGGTTCACTCTAAATTGATGTCAGCCTAGCGCGCACGGTAGTAAATTACCCCCTTACAGCTTTTAGTAGGCGGGACAGACGCTTAAGCCGGCTAAGCTGACAGTAATCTAGTGGGACTCCCCAAAGGGATAGATGGATCTAAAATCCGTGGGAATGGAGTATATGACTTTAATTGCTAAGAACCAGATGTGTCCGAGAACATATCTGGCCTTCTCTGGTCGTAGGACATATCTGGCCTGTCGGACATATCGGGTCGTCACAACAGTGGCTCTTAGCCTCTGTAAATCAGCTAAGCAGAGACATAAGAGTTCAGTTCCACAGAGGAGACGGAGGGCTCTCTCTCACTTCTTCAGAAAAAATCACATTGTTTAGTAGTTCAGTGTTCAGGAAAGAAAAACTTAAATGTGAATTTAGGAAATTTATTCAAACACATAAATCAATGTTTTCAGACGGCCATTGAGTGTCCTACAGGAGAAACTTGCGTTCAAGATGTGGTAATTTGTAAGAAGCCACAATGCTGCGTTCGTGAGTGAAATATAAAATGTTAAACATTAGACAGCTTATATGGATGTGAATGTTAGACAGCTACTAGAAACTAGTAATTGTAATGATAGAACCTATTTAAATTGTTTTGGATAGTTTGGAAATGCAACAAATGATATCATACCTGTTTGTTATTTAAGATAAACCAAGCACACACATACAGACGGGTGACATAATTAGTCTACGTGTTTTTCGGTTTATTGTTCGCTTTACCAGAGATGAGTTTTCATCCATGTGTACTATAAAAGGTGTATCCGAAGGTAAAAGGTTCTTTTAGCTGTCACGTTGCCACCATGGTGAAGGAACGGGAGCTCACAAATGAATAAAGAAATGAAATTGTTTCTCTGAGGGAGGAGGTATCAATGTTACCTATAGATAGCTGCCATATATGGTGTGACTCGTCGGAGTGTGTATAGGGTTTGCAGAAGGATGGAGGACACTGCTGATGCCCATAAGTTAGACCGAAGTGACCGCCCAAGGGAAACTATATTGCCAGAGACGACAGGCGCCTTTTCATGCTGTCAAGGCCATGGAGGTTTTAGCCGTGCAAGGAATCAGCGTTGCAGTGGTTGCGCAGTTTGCAGGTTGAGGTTAACAAAAGAACTGTACAAAAAAAAGGCTCCATGCTTCAGGTAACCACAGCAGAGTTGCCAAGAGGAAGCCATTCACCACCTTGATAAACATAAGCAGAAGAGTGACATGGGATGCAAGAACCATTGCCTGGACAGTAGGTCAGAATTGTTGCCATTTTGTTTTTTTTTCTGACGAGTCCATATTCACAGTTATCAGCGTGGGTAGAAAAGTGAGGGTACGGAGAAGATCATGCACTTGTCGAAAATATGTATTTCCTCACTAGACAGGCCACTTCACTAATGGTTTGGGGCTACATTGGTTTCTACAGTGTTGGTGAGCTTGATAAATGGAAAGTTGAACCACCAGCGATACATAGAAATTCTCGACTGGCAGGATATTGAAAACCAAGTGGCAAAGGATCGCCTCTTTACCAGAAACGCTCTAATCCAAAGTGCCTTCAGAGCCTGGGCCAGCATAACCCCCAGAAGTTTCATGAACCTTTATCAGTCTATGCCTAGAAGGATGGTGGCCATATTGAGATCACGTGACTATCCAACAAAATATTAATCCTGACATAATAGCATGTGTTATGTAAAGGCAACACACTGTTCTTTAAACCTAAAATAAAGATACTTACTTGACACAATCAGTTTTCAATAACATGACAATTGAAAAAACTAACTAATCCAGCTGTTTTTCCCCTTAAAGAAAAAAGGTGCAATACTTTTGCCCCCCTCCCCCCACCCCGTACATATTTATATATACTGAAACCTAAGACCTTCGCTGTAAGCGATGCAGTTAAGTTCTCAGTAAAAATAAATCCATATTCTTAAAAGGGCAATGTTCCCGTCTTTCACAAAGGCAAAATCCCCTATGCAGCGTTTCTTGAAACGATTATCTACTCAGATACATAAGAAACGAATTTTGTGTAACTAAGCAATTCTCCGATGTCAAGTCATTTCTCATGACTAAGTATCAAGAAATATGCTTGAAAAGACATAGTTGGATTCTCCTATATTTTATATATATATATATTTTTTTAATTTGTTTTTATCGCATCTTATTTATTTATCTATCTTTATCTTTTCTTAATTGTTATGTTCACAGCTATATGTACGGTCCCTGTAGATCCCGGTCCCTGTGAGTACAGCATCCCAAGGTACTTCTTCGACAGCAACGACTGTCAGTGTCAGAAATTCATCTACGGAGGCTGTGAGGCAAACGCCAATAATTTCGTAACACTGGAGGAATGCCAAAAGACTTGTCCTGTAACGTGTGATGTAAGTGTATGATGTTGTCTTTATAAAAGTACATGACTTAAACATGTTTATGTACGTCTTCATTTATGCGAGGACATCTAATAGAGTCTATCTATATAATATTAAATTATAGTTCGTCCGTGCAGGTAGGGATAGAGAAAGTGCATAATAGAATTTGGTACTGTATTTTTAAAGTTTCAGTGGAAGTGGCTGTTTTGATCAATTGAATGACACATAACCACTCTAGGTCTAGGACAAAATCAGAAAATGAAACATAGCATTTAATCGTAGCGTTGAGGCATTTAGTAGTGGCAGAGGCCAAAAACAGCTAATACACACACTGGACAAAAGAAGTGTCACCCCCTAACTCAGAGTAATGAAAGTAGGCAGATCTTGGGTACTTATAATGCCTGGTCTACTTATAATGTGACTAATGAGTATAAAACCGCTATACCATGGAATTGTATTGTTGGTCTTGTACATGTACAGCAAATGTTATTCCTGTCTTCCTCCAGTATGGCAATATACAGGTAATTATATAACGATTATAGGTGCAAGTTATTAACCTGAAGAGGCGGAATATAAGCAATGTCAGAATATCGATACAATTGAATTGTTCAGTCAGAACCGTGCAGAGGGTCTTGTCTCGGTATAGAAACACTGGATCAAGAGACAANTGATACCAGGAGCATATCATTCCACAGTCATTTATCTCCCCCATAGTATTGGCTCAGTAGGGGTGACACTTCTTTTGTCCAGTGTGTGTACATTAATATATAGAGAGGGGAGGAGAACATTGTAATGGTTACGTTTACCTTAAATATTAAGTTAAAACGTTTGAATTATCTTGGACCCCTTTAACGCAAATATATTATTGCACGTATTAAAACACGTTTCACTGACTCGCACTTGTAGACCACCTGTGTGATCTTTTAACTATTATTATTCAGCATATAAAGTGCCCTGACGGAGAAACTTGTGTCCTGAACAGAGATGTCAATTCAGAATCGGTGTGTGTGCCGCCACGGTGTGTACGTAAGTGATCCAATTCGGGAAGATACACTCATGAGAAAGGCGGACAAGAGACACAGTTTTAATCCTTTTATTTCTTCATATATGATCATTTTAAAACACAAGCTAGAATGTCTTCATACTGTAGTATGTGGTAAAGCATCGTCGTATAGCAGCCAGGGCCTTTTAGCGGTCAGTAACTCACATCAGTCTAATGAAAGCCTACGTCCAGGTTGGCCGTAATGCCCCTATTTCACACAGACCACGAATTCCTACCCTGAATGTCTGAGCTACGTAAAAGCTAGCTTCTTAAATATACCTTATGATGGAGTCGCTTTTACTAGCTCTGACGAACATCGACAATCTGAGGGCGTTCTTCTTCAAAATTTTGCCTGGGGAGCTTCCATATTTGGAAGTCACACGTCACAGCTGTGTCCGCCTGGATCCATATTTGGAAGTCATAAGTCTCGTACGTCACAGGTTTGGCCGCCTGGAGCTGCCATTCCCGCTTTGCGCTGAAGTTATCTCGTGCAGACGAGACAATAAGCATTTTTAGTGCCTGGCGCGGACTTAGAAGTTTGAATTGAAAATATCATGCAGTCAAAGGTCAGTGCCACAATACAAGCAACATTCTGCTTTAAAAACTGATTTTGGTTAAGCCATTGAGCAGCCCTTATAGTGGTATCGGGCATACAGTGTAGCTGTCAAATTTGGCACACGGCAAGCACCTGTATTGTGGTAGTGTATATCTCAGGACTTAATGTTCTTTGATAAGCAAAAAATACAAAACATTGGATATATCTTTTCTTTTCGAAGAATATTACTTATTTTTTCACTTTACATCTTAAATACAGCAAATAAAATTTAAAAAAGCAGAATTAAATCTGTTTTACGTTTCATTTTGGTCTGATGACATTCAACTGCAGATTCACTGGGGAGCAGTTCTATTTGATTGACGGAAGGGTAACATGGCCGCTGTTCACTACAGCAGGTATTGTTGATATGGGTTATATATGAAATCAAGATCGAGCTGGCAATACCAGAATCTAGAACCTAGAGTAGAATTCTCCGAATCGCTAGCTTGAATTAACAAAGTTAAGGATTCGTGGTTGAATCGTAATCAGTTCGTGAAGTTCTTAACAGATTCGTATATAATCGTAGTCAGTTCTTGCAATTCTTGATCAATCGGGAATTCGTGGCAAACATTTTGAGCTGTTCAAAATTTTGGCCACGAACTCCCGATTCCAAATAATCGTAGTAAATTTTTGACAATATTCGTGCGATTCCAGCCGAATCCCACGAGTATTCTTAACACTGTCGCACCTGTATCGTAACTGAATCGTAGAGCGTGTCGAATTAGGCCAGAAAATTTGCAAAATCTCACGAATCCTCACGAATCCTGAAATTTGTCAATTCCTGGTGATTCGTGGGATTCGTGGTCTGTGTGAAATAGGGGCATAAGGTTACGGTATGAAAACTTACGGCTTGTGTTTCATAATTATCATATTCGATCAACTACCAAGCTAATGGACATTTTTCCTTTTTTATTTCTTAACTTAGAAAATAGATATTTAAATATGTTAAAACAATAATAGACATTTTGATATCTTATAATGCTGTAAACGTGAACCATTCTGTTTTTTTTTTTTTTTTTTTTTTTTTTTTTTTTTTTTTTTTTTCTCGAGTGCTTGTTCAGCATGTAATGCATAATAATAATCAAATATTTAAGTTTGATGTTTTACGCGAACGTTTTCACATATTATACATTGTTCGCAATTCAAATGGCAAGTGTCACACTGTGAAATATGCTTGCACGTGATATGTGATATGTGATATGTGTATGAAATACATAGGTGCGAACCCACCTTTCTTTGTCCACCTTCTTTTACCCAGCATTCTTCAAGATCATCCTGGAAATGTATTTTTAAAATATGTTAAAACAGACTTAAAATATATTACTCAAGATCAAACAACTTACATGGTCATGATATGAAGTTATAATGTCCCCTAACTGTTACCATAAATCTCTATTACATTTTGCAAGGCCCAAGATGTCACGGTACTTAACGTAAAAATATGTATTCTTATTTACGAAAGACAAAGAAAAACGTAAGCAAGAAAGTGAAAAAAATCAAACTTTGGTATCAAGTTAAAGACATCCCTTGATTCTTACACACATGTAGAGCATTCTCTTTTCTATCTGCGTGAAGCCTACATGCCAAAATATTTCTATAACAGCACTGGTGGACAGTGTCAAAAGTTTATCTACGGAGGCTGTGGAGGAAACGCCAATAATTTCGAAACGCTGGAGTAATGCCAAAAATCTTGTAACCTAACGTTTGAATTAAGTCGGTTTTTTATCAATTAATTAATTATATTATTTATTCATTTAATGCATCTCTGATTCTTCACATTTATTTCTTTAGTTTTGTGGAAGGAATGTGGGGGAAATTTTTCCTGTTGGAAAATCCTAAACAGGCATGCCCAAAGATGTGTCGAAAGACTTCTAGCTTATTAAAAAATATCCTTTTACTTGGTTCGATCCTTTACCTTTGTCACTACGGTATAAAACCTACCTGATTGAAGAAATCAATCTCTCATTAGCTCTCTCTATAATTTTGTTTGTTTTTTGTTATTAGAACTTAGAATGTCCTCTGGGAGAGGAGTACGTTCAGGAAACAATTTACTGTATCTCCTACCCCTGCTCCCAGCCACCTGCCAAATGTGGTAAATTTTATAATCCTCCCCTTTTCAAGACAACGGAGGTACATGTCTCGCTTGAGTATATTTGGGGTTGCTACTTTATATAGTCAGTATCTTCGTGTACATGTACTAGTACCTTTGTAAGTATAGCTATTAAACGCACACCCCCATTTAATAGCGTTGTCTTCAGATTTTGAATTGAAATAATACGTACAATGAAAGACATTTCATTCTCTTATCATTGCTGTATAGGCTATGTGTGTTATCGTTTGTTTTCACCAACCTATTTTTATCATCTTATAGTGTGTGCATATTGCAACATCACAACTTGCCAAGCAAACTTCAGGCCTACCCAACTACCAGACTCGGCACCTAAGGATCCTAAATTAACCGGTATATCGGACCACGCTACCCGTTTTCAAGGTGTGTGTCAGATCGTATTTCGGAGTATCATACCCCAGAACAAATTTTGTTGCACGACTGCGGGCTCATCCACGCTCGGCTGAACAACCTTAAACTGTACTCTTACTTTAGAGAACTCTATTTTATTGTCTCTACGGGGATATATGGGGACTTTACGACATTCGGTTTGAATGTTTTAACCACTTTTGATAGGGCTTTTTTTGCATTGTATTAGATTAATGTGGCAGTCTAAGGTTCATCTAGGTGGCTTTTTAATTTATGCACCCGGTTTTAAAATCATATAGCGATTTTACGACAATCGTTTACAATTCAATCAAGGTGACAGCCGAGCATGCCAGGGCTCATCCTGTCGGTGTTCTGGCTGATACTCCGAAATGCGATCTGACACACACCTTGAAAACGGGTAGTGTGGTCCGATATACCGGTTAATTCAGGATCCTTAGGTGCCGAGTCTGGTAGTTGGGTAGGCCTG